AAAATAAAGCAACATACGTTAACAGTGTGTCTACATTTTTTATGTTGATTCTTTGAATACAATTGAAGTAATTTTTTAAATCATTTTCAAACACAGGGAAGAAAGGTCAACCTTTGGAAAATTTGGTTTAGTGTTTGTGGAATTTTGTTATTAGAATACTCAGATTAACCATTTTAACCATTTTCCTATCATTATTAGTTTAGTGTAAGATAATATCTTTGGCTTATAATTTAAGTGGTGTGTTGAAGTGTGATATGATGTAAACCTCAACTTCTTTCCAGAATATCTGTGAAAATTTACATTCAAAAAATAGGTGCTTAATTGTTTCCTCCTCAGTATTACAGAATACACAGTTAATATCAATCAATATTGATAAATTTAGCTAAGTGTTAGTATGTTATGTCTAATTTTATACTGGATTTCTTTTATTTAGTTAGAAATAGCAAATTAGTGTGGAAGGAGCCGTGTTATTTTCCAGTTAATATCAGAGAAAGAGGATGACTATACAAATTTCCCTCTCTGAGTAATTTCCCTTAAATAGCTCCTTATATGTTTATTGTTACATGACTAGTAAATCGTCATTCCATTTTTAGTCCGATTGGTGACGTATTTCCGTTGTCCATGCGCAGTAGCTTCTCCGTAATACAAAGGTACAGGAGAGCTTGGGAGGTGACAGGAAGTGTATTCGCTCACCACTTCCCGCCGCAGCGCAGACGTTTTGACGTCGACGTAATTGACAGGTCGAGAGAGAAATGGTGCAAGAAACGTTCTTTTCCAGGACCTGGTTTAGCTCTGAGGCTAGGCTAACTGCATGCAGCGAGGCTAAGGCTTTATTCTGCTTCCTGCCTCCTTTTTCAAACAATAGAAACTGATCCAGCCTGGATAAAGACAGCAAGGACTGATTTAAAGCACTTTATAGAAAAGGCAAAGAAGAACGAACAATCTAAGATTCACATGGAAAATAATAGAATATAATCTACTTTTAGTAGCTGTTTGTTAATTTGCATAGGTTCTCATAAATAAACACATTGTCAGAAAATGTATAGTTTTTTTATATTTAAAAAAATATAAAGCTGACTAACAGCTTCTCCATTATTAAACTGATACATTATTTTTAGGTTTGTGAAACAATAACAGACCATGCAAAATACAGATTTACCTTCACAGCCTCAGAACGACAAGATTTATGTGCAAAAAGTAAACCTGTACATGAAATTATGTTTTCTTTTTACAAAGTGTTTTTATAATGTTTTTTTGTTGTCAGCATTCATATAAATATACCAGCAGAGGCGTAGCCAGAGAGTTTTTATAAGGGTGGCCAGGCAATAACCACTGTAGACTGAGGGGGGGGGGCTGAAAGCGGATTGGCAGCAGAACCTCTGGGTCAATCTACACTGTTCCAACAGGAAAAATGACCATGCTAAACATCCATATTTTCTAAATAAAGGCAAACTATACTTTCCTACAGCCTTTGCTAACAAATAGATGATATTTCTAGATAAAAAGTATAGTGAATAAATCTCAGTTTTGAGTTCTGGGCGTAAATTAATCATCACTCTCATTACTTTGTATCAATAAACATCCAGCATAAAGTTGATATTTACAAGCACAAATATCTACATAAATTGATTGTTTTATAAGTTTTTATTTAAAAAAATTCATTGAAGACTCCCAAATGACTTCAGAGACACATATTTTTCTCTTTACCCCATAAAACACAAAATCTATTTCTGAAGAGCCTGAATTCTGTACTTATCATCTTTGATGTTAGTATATTGATGTATAGATTTAACCACAAAAAAAAAATGTTTTAAATATTCCACTTGAGAGTATTACTGCTGTATTAGAGGGAAATAAATGGTAGGGGTGGCCAATGATTGGCTAAGGGTGGCCATGGCCCCCCATCTAGCTCCGCCCCTGTATACTAGTGTGATAACTTAGTAAACGTTTGATTGGTTTTGGTTTGAATTTATAGCCCCCCCCNTGTTTTTAGTTCTTGGCATCTATATGAATATGCTGGTGTGATACCTTAGTATACATTACATTGGTTTAGAGCACCTGTAGAAAACTCCACCTGCCGCCACTGTTTAAATGTGTGATAATAAAATATAGAAAGAAATGGAAAATACTGGATGCAGTCAATGTTTCCTGGATGTGCAGTGAAGCCTTTATTACACCAAATTACACAGAATTTCAGAAACATATTCATGAACTCCTTTGTGGATCAGGCTGCGCTTAAAGTTTAGGTCAGCTTACCTGGTATCCTGGGTCTCATTTACGTTCTGATGAGAATCAAACCTAAACAATGAAAGCAGAACCACAGCAGGCAAATGAATCTCATCAAAATGATTTCTTAGGTTCCTCATTCAGCAGCAGATGTTTCCACAGATCGCTGCTGAAACCTTCAACACGACCCACCTGCTAAAGTTTGTTTTAGCTAAACTGCAGACATTTGTTTAAATTCAGAGATCAGTTCTTACCCCGAGCGTTGAGGTGGAAGAGGACCAGCAGAGATTAAAGTAGCCATCATCATCATCATCATCAGCAGCAGCAGCAGCATCGTGGTTGGAAGCAAAGCAGAAACTATATTCTGATCCAGATCAGACCGACTGAAGCTCCCCCCTCTGATCTGAGATCAGCTTCATCCTGTTTGTTCTCCAGCATCACTGCCGTCCGTCCGTCCGTCCGTCCTTCGCTGAGGGTCGGGTCATGTTTGGCTGAACGTCAGCTGAAGGACAGCGGCTCAGGGATAAAGCTGAGATGGTGTTTTCTGTTTTTATCTGATCTTTTTCATTCATTACTCAGCAAAGGTGAGGAGGGGGGCTGGGGGCTGTTCAGCTTTACAGCAAAATGACGATCGCAGGAAAATTAGAAGAAAAGATTGAAGAAGAATTTTCAGTAAGAAGAGATGAAGGTCTTTTCTCCCTAAAAATGAGGAAAAACCAAACCACCTCATTCCAACTGTCAGCCCACAGGGGAGGATGTAGGTAATCAAAGAGCCAAATCATATGCTGATATAAATTTGGTAAAGAAAAAATTAAAGTAGTGGGTCTTAAAGTATCTGTACATAAATAAAATCTGCAAACTTCAACAATCTGAAGCAACGTTGGAAGAAAATGGTGTAAAATGATTATTATTATCCCAACTACTGCATCAAAGGGTGTTATTTTAAACAGGCCGTCTGCGTCTCAGGTTGAATGAGGTCTTATAAAGTGTGTTAGGTCATGACTCCATCATTTAGGTTTAAAGATTCTTGGTTTTAAGCCTTAATCAAAACAAACATGTTTGAGTAAAAGTTTGAGAATCCCCCCCCCCCTAACTGTGACTTATCTAATGTGAAGGGATGAAAAACACACAATCAATCCAGCTTGACAATCACAAATATCTTTTTAATTTCAACATCTGTTACAATTTTATAATTTAACACATCTGCACAAACACTGAGGGGAAGAGAATAGCTGCTTAGATCCGAGGGGAAACAAAAAAACAACAAGAGGAGAAAAATGAGCATCCACTTCCTGGAAAGCAGCTGCTCATCTCAGAGGACACGCAGTGTAAATAACCAGCGGATCAACGCGTTAATCAGCCGTTTATCGGAAGTCCTCAGCGGAGAACATGCCCTTGGCTCGGCGCAGGATGGAGTCCTTGGACGCATCGTACGGATGCTCTTTGGACGGGATCTCCAGCACTGCTGGGATGGACTGCATGTGGGCGTCGATGGCGTGCCGGATCATCTCAGCTATGAACTGGTTGATCAGAATGATGGCGATGTCGTTCCGCGCCAAGAAGCTCCTGCAGACGGAAAAAAAGAGTTCAGCTCATCTTTGAAATGTGGAGATAAATCAAGCAGGAAACACATAAAGGAAGATCAGAAATATATAGATTTTAATCATTTTACTGAAATGAGAGACCGTAGATAAAATAAAGAAGTTTTTCAAAAATCATTTGAAAATATAACTAAGATCATTTTATAGTTAGAAATATGTTTAATAATCTATCAAAAGTAAAATATTTGTTTAAAATGATCAAATCTGTTTCTACAATTTCTCAATAGTTTTTTTATTTTTTATCAATTCCTTTTTATTTTATTTTACTCTTCAACAATATTTGCATGTTTTAAACGACATAAAACAGCAACATCTGAACAGAACATTTAATAGAACACGAGCATTTTTATTAATGTAGTTTTAACTGAATATAAAGGTGCTGAAAACGACAAACAATCAATTAACCTTAAAATGGTTTGATTTTGAATGGAGTCTGGTACAGATGCAAAATGTGTTAACATTTCTGCCAGTTTTAACGTTTTTATTTATAGTTATGAATAATTGTTATTTTATTACACCTCCTTTAGACATACAAATACAATATAGTACAGAATTACATTCAAATTTTATTTAAAGAGGATTTTCTGTCTAAAAAATCCAATACGCACCAGACTCCATTCAGATTTTGACTAAATTAATGTTCGGGCATATTATTCGGTCTGTTTGTTGTTTCTTTTCATCTGAGGTTTATTCTCATGTAGCAGAAATGATCAAATAATCTGTTTATTTACGGTTCCTGTTTGATTAAATCGGTATCGGGCCTCACTTGAACGTCTCCTCGATCTCCGTGATGCTCGTGTCCTTCTCCACCACCAAGAAGTTCGGCTTCCGGTTCTTGTTCAGCTCCCCGATCCCACCGAGCAGGAAGCCCGTCACCGTGTCCTCATCCCCGATCACCGCGATCAGTTTGCCTCGGCCCGCCATAGCTCGCTGCTTCGGTCCTGTTCTGTTCGGGAGACAAGGTGCGGATCAGCAGCTTTGATCATGTGAGCCGCTGCGTCATAAGTCACGTGGGGGTGACGCAGGAGCAGGAGGCGGAAGTGAAGCTTCAGGCCAAAAACAAACAGCAGCTGAGATGGTGAGGCTTTATTTGATCTATTTTACCTGCATCGTTTTATTTTTATCTAATATATTTATTGGACCATGATTCCGGAATAAAGTCTGTTTGTCTGTTGATCAATAAATCTGATTGGTTTGTTTTCCAGACGACGGCGGCTCTGACTGCGGGTCTGGAGCGGATCCCGGATCAGCTCGGGTATCTGGTCATCAGTGAGGACGGGGTTCTGGCTGTAAGTTTAAAGAAAAACTACAAAAAGTTGCATTTCCTGCGAAAATGCAGTGAATGCTGTAGGTTAAACTATAAGCTTTATAGTTAAAATGGTAGAAACAAGCTGAGAAAAAACTGAAATGGCAGAAAACAAAAACGCTTAATGACTTTGCTAAAATTAGTGGAAACCAACAGCAGAAACATGGAACACATGTTATGAATTAACAGTAAAGAGCAAAGATTCCATGTTCCAGAAAGGGCGAAGGTCTATGGAAGGCCAAATGTGCCACATTCCTCTGTTTTTCTGCTTAAATAAGGTTAAAAATCTGGCAGTTCTCTCTGAAAGGTCAATAAGTTCAAAGTTTAAATCATTTGCTTTATTCTTTAAACGTGTTGATGAGTTCAAAGATTCTTTTTTTCAGAAAGTAAAACCCAAAGGTGACTCCTGGGCGTTTTTAGACAGGGGCCAGTGGGGCCAGTTCCCCTGTAGAACTAATACTGGCCCCTGAACCAAAGAGATAATTCTATTCAGTGTATTTCTATAGCTCCAGTTCACATCATGTCATCTCAGGTCACTTTCCAGTTCACCAGCTTAAGTTCTGATTTAATGAAGTTAAACATATCTAATATTTCTGAAATTTAAATGTAAATTGACCTAATATATCAAATATTTCATGTTTTAGTAAAAGTTTATTCAATAACTAATTATTTCAGGTGCTTTTTTTCTCTTGTATTCATTATACATGTATTCAAATATTTACAAATGTAATTAAACCAAATTAAATGTAAATTTCTATTCATATTCACAATATATTTAAGCTATTTTAATGGATGAAAACTTGCTGGCCCCAGCCTGGCCCCTGCTACTAGATTTGATCTAGAAACACTACATAGATTCATTACACATAGAAACAATTGAAGCCTGTATTTCTATTAATTGTGATGATTAAGGCTCACAGATGAAAATCCCCCTTAATTAAGACTTTACACAAATTGGAAAGGAGTGAACATAAGTTTGTTGTTTAAGGTCTGGAATCCAAGCATTATCATAGAAAGTTAGGTGGAAGGATAAAGTGTGGTGAGAAGTTCTGCACCAGCAATAAGGAGAAGCGCAGCTTTCAGAGGATCCGGCTAAATTTAATTAGATATAAGGGAGCAGAATGATGAATCGAGGCTGCAGAGGGAAAAAAGTTATCTTTAGATGAAAGTTCATATTTTATCTATAAGCCATCTATCAGGACCTCAAGTGTTTCTTCTGACATGATTTTATGAGGAAACTGATTAGAAATTCTATTTTCTCAAGGTACTAAAATAGTTCTTTAAATTACATATTAATAATGATTTTATAAGCATATATTTTTAATTCTATTGTGACTCCTATAAAGGAGGGGATATAAAACAGGCTCTGCTGGCAGCCAGTAAAATATAATAATAAGAAATTGTCTTAAATGAACCCCTCCAGCATTAGAAGACTGGTTTAGTATCGTTTTAGACATTTAAATCAGAAAAGTTGACGTTTTCTTTAAGAACCCCGGGGGAAATGTTTTGATATTTAAAATGAATGGATCAGGTTTGTGTTCCGCTTCTGAAATTATCTTTTATTTATTGTTTCCTTATTGAGGCTCAACCTTTTGAAATTGGAAAAAAAAAAAGACTAGAAACTTGTTTTTTCTTAAGAATAAAATATTTTACAGCTCCCTGTTAAAGCCACCATGTTTCACTTAAACACATAAAATTAGTTTCTGTTTCTCATTTTTCTGGCTTTGCTTTTGTTTTAATTTTCTTTTGTTTTATAAATGTGAAACCAAAAACATAATGCATTTAACGTGTAAAAATAACTGTGATTTCATCATTTTCAATAAAAAAATGAATGGAAAAAATAAAACAAATTCCAGTTAAACCCATATATGGTAACAGTGACTAACGCTGCCAGGTACCAGAAGCAGCAAATGAAGCAGGTCTCTGTGGACCAGAACCATAGAATCTATGAAGAACCAACAATGCAAATATGAGCAGAAGCTGCTGATGGATCAAGCCGGGCTTCCAGAACCTCTCAGCAGAACCACAGGCTAAAAGAAGCTCCGCCCACACAGCGAGGAAGTGAACATGCTTTTCAGAATCCAGACATCTCTGCTTAAAATATCATTTTATTCAGTTTGGTTTTCCATACGAATCACAACAGGAAATAGAAGCTTAATAAAAGCTTTTATTTGTTAAAATGACTCACAAAGACTTTGAAATTATTTATAATATTCCATTTTTTTTGTCGTACCCGTATGACACCTTTTAAAATTATCTATATGAATTACAGTTTTTCCAACCAACCTTTTGAAGTGTTCAGAAATCAGCGGGTTCATAATTAGCTCTCCTCTCACAGGCGACATTAAGGTCGTCGGTTTTACTTGTGGTTTATTTTTGAGACCCTGCTTTGTGTTGATCTGCCTAAAGGTGGTTTCTGACGTGAAGAAGTGAAGGAATTCTTTCTGTTATTCAGTCTGCAGGAGAGCTGGAGAACGACGAGCACACTGCAGGTGCCATAATGCAGATGGTTCGGACGGCTTGTCGCTTCAGGTTGTCTGGATCAACAGAAGCTCCGTTCAAACGCATGTCGGGTAAAAAAAGCAAACATTTCCTGGAGAAACCAGGCCTCATCCTTCAGGTTACTTCAGACTCCAATACTAACCTTCCAGTTGTTTGTTTCCCTGCAGTGATGCTGGAGGACTTTGTGTACGTGGTTACAATTTCAGGTCAGAAAGTGTTTGTGGTTAAACGTCAGAACAACCAGCATGAGCCCGTCAACGCGTAGCGGCGCCGGGTGGAGCCAGCGGGATGAAGATGGCGTCTTTTTGGAACTGTTTTCTATGTTTCAGATGTCTGTATAATAAACTGTTTGAACGTTTCTGCTTGTTTGAACGTTTCTGCTTCCTCCAGAAAAATGATCCTGCAGGATTTAGATGCATCCCTTCAACACGTTTATGTAAATAAAATCATGTCGGAAACAGCACAGTTGTCATGTGGGGTACCTCAGGGGTCTGTCTTTGGACCCATCCTCTTCCTTTTGTGCATATTTACACTAGGTCAGATAATCAGTCAATTCAGTGTCATATCTTACATATGCGGACGATACTCAACTAAATTAGTCTTTCAAGGACAGTGAATTTAATAAATTGTGTTCCTAAACTAACTGACCAGCATTAAACGCTGGTTATGTGACAATTTTCTACTTCTGAACTCTAAAACTGTAACACTAATTATCGCATCTGAAAGTAAAATCCCTCAGAAAAGCAACCTGTTGCAGCAATGTCCTTGCAGAACCACTCTAAACAGTTAGGAACTGTTACTTCTATTCAGTTTATTTCTATAGCTCCAATTCACATCATGTCATCTCAGGTCACTTTCCAGTTCACCAGATCATCCAGTCAGATTGATTCAAAGTTTTCTATCTAAGGAAAACCAGCTGATTGCATCGACTCATTGACTCTTCAGCAATCCCTCACACTAAGCATGCTTGTAGCGACAGTGGAGAGGAAAAACTCCCTTTGAACAGGAAGAAACCTCCAGCAGAACCAGGCTCAGTGTGAGCGGCCATCTGCTGAGGCCCACTGGGGTTCAAGGAGACAGAAGCAGACGTAGAAAAAGAAGCATAGATACAAAAAGCAGCTGTAAAAGGCGGCCCCGTCCAGGAAACACACAGCCAGGCAGACGAGCTCCGAGCCAGCTCCCATGTCAGAGGATGAAGAGAGCACATCCAGTTAGTCACAGTCAGAGAAACAGGACTACACTGGAAAACAGGCCAAGCTCCAACATCTAGAAACAAAGGTGTTGATGGCAGCAGCACAGCTGATATTTCTCTCCAGGATGGAGTCACAGCCAAACAGGAACACGGTTTGGCTGTGTTGCAATAGTCTAACCTCACAGTTAGACTATTGCAAACTGTGAGGTTACCTGTGTGAGCGAGGAGGGCCTTTACCGTCTCCAGGTTGTCCAGCATTCTGCTGCAAAGCTTTTAACTGACATTAGAACCCAGTTCACTACTGTTAGTGTCCTGAACGATCTAGTTCCTCCCTACATCTCTGGGCTGATAGAGCTCCATACTTTGTCCCATAGTCTGAGGTCAACGGGCCGAACATTGTTAGCGGTTCCACACTCGTTTATTTGCCTCCTTTTTTATGCCGTATTAATTCTGTTAATTCCTTTAAAAAGCAACTGAAGACGCTGCTGTTCAAGCCGGCTTTTTAATTAGATGTGTGGTTTTTATGGCTTTGTTTCCTAAAATGTTGATACGCACAGATAGAAATCACAAAGATGAATAAATTACTGACTTATAAAACTGAATCATTGAACTTGTTCTCTACCAGGCTTCATCAGAGCTGAATCAATGCTGAGGTGATTCAGTGTTGAAGGGATGAAACTTAAAGTTTATGGATAAACTATCAGGGATGCAGCTCCTCATTTATATTTCCTCTCTATTGATCCACACTTTGATCAGACTAATGATTTTTACAAAGTTGGAACAGATTCTTAAAACCTGAAAAATGACCCAAATCTGCACCAATTCAATGCGCTGAAAGGGCTACAATGTGGGATTCAGAAAAAGATGCTGAAATGTCTGAAAGGTCGGACACAGGCGAGAGCGTATCGGGAGACCGAGACCAACCAGACCTCCCTCATCCTCGGCCCTATCTCAGAGGATTTATAGAAATAGTCAAAAAATTGAGCTAGTGGTATCTGGCTGTTTTTTTTTTTTAAAGGTTACTTTATACTTTTATACTTTCAGTAGTTTTTGGAGCGCATACTTTTTCACTTTTACTTGAGTAAAGAGGTCAAGTTGATCCTTCAACTTTTACCAGAGTGTTTTTAAACTGCAGGATCTAAACTTCTACTGAAGTAACTAATGTGTGAACTTTGACACCACTGATCAATCCACATTATTGAATCTGATCCGGTAACTTCTACGCCATTCTGGTTATTTATTGTGCATTGAATCTAATTTATCGACATTCAACCTTTGCAGTCGGATCATGCTGTGCACCCCTGAAATTTAGAGTGAGTCAGCAGAACCTAAACTTGCGGTTTTATCCAATATATTGCAAACTTCTTTTGAAATACTAAACTTTTTATTTTTTTTCTATTCATTAAATGCATGCAAATAAGAATTTCCACTAATTTTCATCCATGGATGTGGTAAACAGCGTGCACAATAACCAGGAGTCGGTACCAGTAAAGAAAATCTGATCTGTGCATCGACAGTGAAAGACTGAAAACAGACCTGAGAAGAAAAAAAAACCTTTATTGCATCATTGTTGCCTCTGCTTTGTTTCTTCTTCACATTGATAAGGAATGACGAGGCCGTGGGGTCCGGCTCTGTGGAATGAGTCATCACATGACCAGGCAATTTGTCACCTGTCGTAAGCCCCGCCCACTCCTCCCCTCTCCCTTACAACACCCGGTCACGTAATCTGGAGTTAAAACGAGCAGATTAAAAGAAAACAAACAGATCTAACAAACTGAAGAAGAAGAGGATGATGGGAAACCAGGTGAGCTTAGAGTTCACGACATCACTTCCTCCTGCAGATACATTTATAATTTAAAAAAGAAACAAAAACCCAGAAACAGTCCTGTGAAATGCTCCTCATCTTCCTCCTCCTCTGTTTGTACACGGTGACATCAGTCGGTGACATCAGCCTGCTGCTTCCTGTGGAGGCTCTAACGTTTCGATAGCTCATTGGACAGCCAGTCCAGGCCCTCGTAGAGACCCGTCCCCTGAGTGGCACAGGTGGCCTGGACGTGCCACTGAAACACAAACGGAAACAAAACAGGATCAGAGCAAAAACTGAATCTGGTTTCAATATTGGGAAACTGTTGAGACTTTGTGTTACTTTTGAAGTTTTCAAAAACTGAGCAATGGTCATAAAAATGACCAACAGGATAAAGGAGGCCAGTAAATGCAAATAAAGTCGTCTCTGTCTTGCAAAAATCTTAAACGCAAGTGTTTGACGTAATCCATCTGGTTAAAGGAAGTTTTCAAATCCAGCTCAGTTCTGACCCAATAGGAAGGAAAGGGTTTGAAATCTTAGTTGCATCAATGCTGCAAAGGAGGGGGGGGAGGTAGTTGCCCTTGTTTTGTTATTTTTGCACAACCATTATCTGACTCTGCTGTAGAGAATATCACCAACTGCTACATTTTAACGTCTTTAACACCTGAGAAATCCACTGATTTAACAGCTCATTTAATCCTTGATGGGTTTTTAAAACCACCAGGACTGTAATGCAGAATGCAACCACAAGGAGGCAGCAACTGCCAGGCAGCAGCAAAAAAAGGCAGGGATAGTAAAAAAAAAAAAAAAACTAAATCCAACATTAGATACATTAAAGTTGAGCTGAACGCCTTCTTCAGAAATAATTAGTTTTGAATCATATATTAGAAATGATGAGGACTTCTATTTAGTCCAAGTTAGAGTAGAACGCTGTGGGATCTATCACACCCCCCCCCACCTTAAAAACAGCGTATCAGAGCTCAGCTCGTCTAAATCCCCCAAAGTTCTGCTAAACATGCGTGATCTTTAAATGGATCCTTACGGTTCTGCTGCGCAGGCTGTGCAGGCCCAGTTTGTCGGTGAGTTCGCTGACCCCCATGGCGTTGGGAAGATCCTGTTTGTTTGCAAACACCAGAAGGACGGCGTCCTTCAGCTCGTCTTCCTGGATCTGAGGGGATACAAGAGTCAGGTTGACGTCACCATCGACCCACCGAGGCCACGGCAGAATCCTTGATCGCTCACCATCTTGGAGAGCTCCTCGGCCGACTCTGCCACTCTCTCTCTGTCGTTGCTGTCCACCACGAAGATCAGACCCTGCAGAAGAAACGGTCACTGATCAAAGCAGTCTGCTGTCTGAGACGCTAATAAACAACATCAGCAAATATCATTGGTTGATGAGACACAAACCAAATCAAACCATCCGTGATTCTAACTTATTAAAAGTACATTTCTCCAGTGTGAGATCAGCAAAGTCAATCAATCAATAAAACTACCTGTGTGTTCTGGAAGTAGTGTCTCCACAGAGGTCGGATCTTGTCCTGACCGCCGACGTCCCAAACTGTGAAGCAGATGTTCTTGTACTCCACCGTCTCCACGTTGAAGCCTAAAACATGCAGACGCAGCAGAGGATGGTTAGAGCCGAGGCGGCTACATACTGAGCGCGTGCAGTAAGATACTTTCTGTCTGAAGAATTAGTAAAATACTGAGGAAATAACAAACTTTCCATGTACGCAGATAACATTCGTTTTATACGTTCAGATAAGGCCTCAGCTCTTCTTCTGGATATTGAATCTTTAAATGGAGCAAATGCTCCTGATTTTTCACAACAGTAAGTTTGAAAGTTGTTTGGTCCTAATAAAAAATAATAATTTACTGCAGCTAGCTCTAGTTACTCTGTTAGTTACTCTGTAAATTCAGCAGTCGGGCTTCTGCTTTCCTGATAAATGGGCAAAAGATTCACAGTATCTTGTTAGGTTGGTAGTGCAACAAGATAAATTCATTATAAATTAAATCTGCTCTGATGGGATTAAAAACAAAACCTTAAACTACAAAAACAAACCAAAAAAGCCTCCCAATAATTTAATCTCATCAACCATTTCTTAGCTTCCTGAACCACAATCCGTGTGTGATAAGATGATTTTTACTGCTTTGATTCGGCTCCTGCTAGGAAACATTTCCACCCAGGTATGATTGATTACTTACCGATAGTTGGGATGGTGGTGACGATCTCTCCGAGTTTAAGTTTGTACAGGATTGTTGTTTTTCCAGCTGCATCTAAACCCACTGAAACAACAGATAAAATAGTCAAATTAAAATGTAAATTAATCAAATTTAATAAAATATGTTTTTATTTTGATATTTC